AGATGAAAACATGAAAAAATCAAGTGTGTGGAATTTTTTCCCTGTCAGTGTATTATGGCATATATTAAGAATAGATACATTTTTATTTAAATTTATTCCATACTTATAGATAATGTAATTTTCAAATTTAAATGGTGAGCCAATAAACAAAATCACACCAAATAAATAATTAAAGTAATGCAAATTTCCATTCTAATGAAAACTGCATTTGGGATAGGATATATAAAAAAAGTTGAATTCAACACACTATATTAAATGAAAAAAAAGATGTGACAAGACAAGGGACAGGAGTGGATCCAGAAAATGTCTTTAGGCTAAAAAAAAAAAAAAAATAGCAAATAAATAAATCTAAGAAGGATTATTCTTCAATTGGAATCAAAACCACGGTGAATGGGGGTTGTCAAGAAAATCTGATAAAAAGTAGTTTGAGATAAAGGGAGATTTCAACACAGTTTTTAATGTTAATATTTCTTATAATAGGTTTTAATTTTAGATAAATTATAAGTTTACTATATTCAAACTTTGATATTGCTCACAAACATAAAATTTATTTTAATATAAAAATCCGACATAATAGAAAAAATTAAAAATATATATCAATAATTTCACCCATAAATATTAAGCCCAAATCATAAAACTAATGTGAAGTTAAGTTATATCTTCAGTTTCATGAATAAAAAAAAAATACCTTTTTTCCTTATAAGGTGACGTATGTTGTTCTATCCTCTTCACATATTAAATATAAGGAAACGTACTCCAGTCTCCACGATTCCTTCAATTAACGAAATATAGTTTTAAATATAATTAACAAAATATAATTAGTTTTAAATATAAGATTTTTTCGTTTTAACCAAACTACAAATTCTTGCTAATTTTATTCATGAAATATATGAAAAAATTAACTGTATCATATATTTCAAGAATCCTTAATTTAGTTTGGTAAAATACCAATAACAATTTCATAAGTCTAATAATTTAAATTCCATCCAAATTTAAAAAAAAAATGTCGAAAACCTCCTAATTTATTGCAAATTAATAAAATCTTATATTCTTACATTTAAATTTATTTTTTCTACCAATGGAAAAAAATACAGCAGAAACATCACTAATATACTATTGGGAGATAAGACCAAGACTGAAACTAGGTTTTTTTAGAGGAATAAGAAGGAACTTTCACATTTTCTTCCAACCTCTCCAATTTTCAATAAAAGTCTACAATAATTTAGTTAACTTCTGAATGGAGATGAAAATTCAGAGAGGAATGTGCTACATGGACGTACACTAGAGGAATTACTGAGTGGCAAAGATGATGTGGAGCCCCCTGATTATGAGGATTTCATACTTAAAAACAATAAAAGCCCAGGAAAAGATGGCATTGACAGAGAAATTTTGAAATATGGTGGAGAGGACCTGCTAAAGAACGTCTTGTTATTGGAGGTATGGGTCGAAGAAAAAATGCCGAAAGAATAGACGGTAGCTATTATCTGTCCAGTTTTCAAAAAAGGAGACAGAAGTAAATGCCAAAATTATAGAGGTATATCTCTCCTGGGGGTAGTATATAAGGCATTTTCCTGACTCCTTAATAAAAAGTTGCAATTATGGTCCGAACGTATTCTTCTTAAGCATCAATACGGTTTCAGGCCAAACAGATCTACAATCGACCTAATATTTTCCGCCAAACATATGTTGGAAAAATGTAATGAATATAATGTAGATCTTCATCATCTTTTCATCGATTTTAAACATGTGTACAATAGTCTCAATAGAAGCAAATTATTGAAAGTAATGGTCACTTTAGGTGTACCGAAAAAGTTAGACTAACAAGTATCACATTGACTGATAGTTGCTGTAAAGTCAAGATACAAGGAGCACCATCAGAAAAGTTTGCTGTTGAAGACGGCCTAAGGAAGGGAATCCCTTGTCCCCAAATCTTTTCAACCTAACCTTAGAATATGCAGTACGTGCTATTCGGACAAGCCCTCATGGCAGGATATATAATAGACTGTCACAGCATCTAGCCTACGCAGACAATGTGGTATTATCGGCTAGATCAAGAACATTTTTATTGAGGGCCTTTGAGTAGTTAGAAAATCCGCGAAAAAAGATCTTTCAGGCCTTAACTAACCTGCTCCATCTCTGCCTGTCTTGGGTTATTTCTTTCCATTTATCTGCACACAGCTCTATTGCATCTTTGTTGATTCTATCTGTCCATCTACTTTTTGTCCTTCCACGTGGTCTTTTGCCTTATATTGAGGCATTCATTGTTATGTAAAGGCTTCCAGATGGATTACTAAGAGTTACATGCCCCGCCCATCTTAACCTCCGTGCCTTCTTATCATGGAATATTGATTGACCAGTTTCTGTAAGCAGTTCTATATTGGTCTTTCTTCTCCATGTGTTATCACTCTGATCCCAGATTGCTCGGATTATCATGCGGAGGGGTTAGTGTCAAAGTCTCACAGCCATATATTAGAACTGGCTTTATCATAGCATTGTGCACCCTTAATTTGAGATTTTTCTGAGGGTACATTTATATAATATGCAATCAAACCAAATGGTTTTACCTTAAAGATATCCTCTTTGTTTAATGCAATGTTTGATGTGGCTTTGATATTATAATGTTTGATATCTAGACTTGAGTATATTGCTCTATCAAGATTATCAGTCAAATCTAAAAGATTTGAAACTGAATGTCTGTCCAGAATGATTCTTTGCTTTAAAGCGGACCCTACACGGTCATTCGGAATAGCATTCCGAGGCACTAATGATGTTCCGAATTATCGTGTAAGGTAGTGAATGAAGTACTGATGGGGGTGCGTTGCGGATTTCCGAACATCTGGTAATCAAAGGTTCATTCACGAGAAGTGGAGGGTGGACCGCGGTAAAAGTAGTGGGGAGACTAACCATACAACTTTTTTTTTTTTTTTTTTTTGTCCCCCTACCTGGCCATTTCTGGCATACGGGGTTCGTTGACAGTAGGGTAGTGAGCATGGGTTTTGCGCATGCCACTGCCACCAATAAACTCAAAAACTAACCATACAACTGGATAGGTTAGGTTACCTAGGCCTCACAACCATTATAAATTTCTGATTTTCATTATAAGTAAATAGTTAAATAATTTTTCATATCCCTTGTTTATATTTTTAAACTATCTTCAACTATTTCTTTTAAATAGTCAAGTGGGCAACAAATTAAAAAAAAAATGTGGAAACTTCACAATTTACTTTAAGAAAAAAAAAACTTTAACGTTGTGTATATTTGTCAGTTCTTTTCCCATTTTCCTCAACAAATTTATTATTTTCGCAATACCTTTCCTTAATTTTTGTAAGTAGTAGACTTATATTTTACTAACTTTTGTCAAAACGATTTTCTATGAGACTAACCTTACTACTAGATAGGTTAGTTTACCTAGGTCTCGTTTTTAAGTAAATAATTTCATAAAAGTAAATAGTTGTTTATATCCCTAGTCTATATTTTTATTAACCATTTTCAACTATTTTTTCTTTAAATAGTCAAGTAGGCAATAAAAAAAAGTGGAAACTTCACAATTTACTTATAGAAAAAAAATCTGTAACTGTTGTGTTTATTCGTCATTAATTTTTCCATTTTTCTTAACAAATTGATTATATTCGCAATACTTTTCCTAGAATTTTGTATGTAGTTGATTTATATTTTTCTAACTTTGGTCTAAACGATTTTCAGGCACTAGGAAGTAATTATTATATCTCCATTTTTCTCTTGATGCCCAATATTATAAATGACAATGTCCAAATAAGCATACCTATGCTGTTTCTTTGTTTATAACTGAGCTGAATTGGTGTCAGCAACGATAAGTAATGGTCAGTAATGATTGAACATGTAGAAGTCTACTTGATCAAAGCGATCCCGAGCATCTTTGCCATTTTCGTGACGTTCATTCATGAATTACCGTGTAGGGTCCGCTTAAGACACTTATGATTCCTACAAAGTGGTAAATAATCATTTTTCTTCTAGAAGAAATAAAGATAACTTGACTCAGGGCCATTGGAAGCCCGTCATATTCTCTTGGCTATCATGTCTTGTAATTGTTTTTTTACTGGACTATAATTCTTAAATTTACTATAATTCTTGTGTTTATTAGAAGACAAAGAAGGGAATGATCGATAATTTTCAGCATTGAGTGCATCTGGTCGCTCCATTGGGGGTGACAGCACATTTTACCTACTCAACAAAGTCGTCTTTTTATATATTTAACTTTTCCTTTACAATGTTGAATTTGAAACCTGCAACAAGAGGTCACATTTGTAATTACAAAGAATTGCTCAATCTGAGTTTAGGGTTAGGATTCTAGAAAAGGGATTGACAATTTAGTATGTCACCAAAGGTAGTGATTGATTTTAAGTTGTAGGATATGATAGGTCAATAACGATAGGTCAATAGCTCAGAACGAAAATGACTAGCAGCTGATGTTTACAAGAGACCTTCATCCCACATGGGTTTAGCGCCAAAAATTATGGTGATGATGGATATAATAGATTTTAACGGCTGCTGTAGTTTGTGAGTTGAGAAGATAAGTATCTGGGTCCAGCATGTTATTATTGAGTTGTCCGGAAAATAATGCAGGTTTTTGAGTTTTCTTTAAAATACCCCCTCTATATAAAAAACTGTTTAGGTTTACTGGATTATACATTTGTATATTTGTATTTGACAATGTTTGTTTACCTCTGTAGCATTTTGCTGCTTAGAAATAATTCAGTCTTTACTAAGATGTCAACGTGTGATTTTTGTATAATTTGGTTTTGCTGATTTAAACTCTGCCAGATTGGTTAGTTAAAAAATAAATCAAAATTTTCGTTTTTTTAACAAGACAATTCAGAATTATTCTGAAGCTATTATTGCTTTATTTTCTTTTTGACTTCTGTGCCTGAAGCCTGTATCATTGATTTTATTGTGGTTTATTACCTCATTATTTAAAAAAAGAGTTTTTATAATTACAATACTATTTGGTGTTTATCTTTCAGGTCTGAGGAACACAAAGGACTCAAGCACTGAAACAAATCCTCATCATGTTCATTGTTCTAAGCATAGTGACATAAAAAGAATTCAATATGCTGATCGTAAGTTTCATATTGATTACTGAATAATCAAGTTAACAGTATTCATATTAGGATATTTATCTTAAAACTAAATATTTAGAATGTTAATGACATTTGCTAATTGAAAAAAATATGTTTGTCTTTCTGTAATATTAATAATAATTTATTAAAAAGGTAAAAAAATACAATTGTCTCAGGGAGATACACACCATAAAGAGTATATACTTTATATAGAATATACTCCAATGAACTGACTTCATTAAATTGAGTATTTGCCTTACAACAATTAAGACTGAGATCAGTGTTGGGGATTATTGAATGAATTTCTATTTGAATAATTTATTCAATAAATTTTCAATCACTGATATTTTAGTGATTGACAATTCTTAGAATAACCTAAAGTTTTAATTTATTATTAAAATTATTCAATACTCTTATATGAAAAAAGTTTTCAATAAAAATATGTTCTGAATAAATATTTATTCTAAATATAAATTTATTCAGTGAAAATATTCACTGAATAATCATTTATTTGAGCATTAATTATTTAAAAAATAAATCAAAATTTTCTTTTTTTTTTTTTCAAAATAAGGGTCTTTTGAGTTGTAATAAGAGTTTTTATGAAAAAAAATCTATACAAATTGCTCAACCGCTCAACCGCTTATTTTATTAGGACCTTGAATAAGTTCTTGCTGTTTCCTGAAAGATGGCTTTCAGTTTTTTTTCCGTTGGCTTAAGGCACTACGATCCTTAGGGAGCTGTTGTGCGCCATGGTTTTCATCCATTTTATTCCTAAAACGTTAGTTTAGTCGATTCCACGTATCTTAGTAGGCTTAAAGGATTGATACGCTTTTGGGATAATCCACTCGGTCCTTCCTAAATAACTCAAGTCTAAGTATTGCAAACCTATCACATCGACAATGACTCATGACAGAATCTGCATAACGGATTCCTAGTCACTCAGAGATCGAACATGTAGTAATTTAACATACAGTCACCAGTATAGATCGCTGCAAGTTTTTTGAGGGCTGATCTATTAATCTGTGGGCCAGACCCCACTACCGTGCACACTCCCCTCCCCACATCCCTATAAATTAAATATCATTGTGTTCTTTGTAACTATTTATTAAAAAAAAGCCAATGTTCCCACAAAAAAAGTGAACACACCCCAAAATGCCATCCAAACATGGTGGACTGACGACTTTGACTTTAGTTAGTATTTTGGGTACTGAAAATGAGTATTTAGCTTAATTTCATCATAATGGACCTTTTATTAAAGCTGAATAGTAAGATAATTATAAAAAATAAAAAAATAAATGGATTAGGCAATAAAAAACACCAGTAAAGTCAATTTTTTCAAAAAAAAAATTCAAGTTGGAAATCAAGCATCGTTTGTAATTAAACGGCCAACAATTAGAAAAAACGCCCAGAATTAAAACATCTGGAGAATACATTTCTCTATCTAAAACACTGATTACTTTTAAAATATTTGAAGCAATTCGTTAGTTATAGATCTATAATAATACTTTTGGTGAGCCAAACAAAAAAAAAGCCAATGTTCCCACAAAAAAAGTGAACGCACTTTTTGCACTGTCCCAAAATGGCGTTCAAAGATGGCGGATTGACGACTTTGACTTTAGTTAGTTTTTTGGTCACAGAATCAGCATTTGGCATGATTTTCTCATAGTTGGTCTTTTATTAAAGCTGAATAGTCATAGAATAAGAAAACATGAAGAATTATTAAAAAATAATTGGCTTAGGCTATGAAAAACACCAGTAAAGTCAATTTTTTTAACAAAAAAATTTTCAAGTTACAAATCAAGCATCATTTGTAATTAAACCACAATAACGCAAAACGTGCTGAAATAAAACATCTGGAGAATATATTTCTTTTTCTAAAACGCTGATTATTTTTTAAAAAATTTTAAACAGTTCCGAAGAAAATGCACTTATGTGGCAGAAAAGCGGTACTGGCGTGGGTGCCTACAGGCCTCTACCAAACCATTCAGTACACATTCAGTCCTCCCTCCTAATAAGGATAAGTTGGCTACAGTCTTTGCTTTGTGCCACCAAAGCAAAGCTGAGTAAAGTATGATAGGTCTGACTGTTGTTGTGTACAGCCAGTATACCATTTTTGGTTTTAGTCCCCAATTCTTTCCTATCGCTCTTTTACAGGCCCATAGGCATTTGAGGGCTTTACTTGTCACGTTTTGAACGTGTTTAGTCCATGTCAGTTTATGGTCCAAAGTGACTCCAAGGTGTTTTACTTCCTTACTCAATGTCACTTGGATACCATTGATTTCCGGCATTTTAATAGCCACCTTCTTCTTCTTAGTGAAGATACACACATTGGTTTTCCTAGGGTTGATGCTTAGTCCTTTAATCCTGCACCAATTCCTAAGAATATTGAACACTGTACTGAGGATATCAGAGAGGACACTCTGATGCCTCCCTCCTATGAGGATGGCAATATCGTCAGCATATCCCTGAGCATAAATGCCTGCAGTGTTTAAGGCTTTCAATAATGAGTCAGCCACAAAACACCACAGTAGCGGAGAGAGCACACCTCCCTGTGGACATCCCCCACAGGGTTTAATCCACAGTTCCTTGTGCCCTATTTCTGATTTTAGAACTCTGTCCTCGAGCATTCTCCCAATCCATCTGGAGGTCATAGCGTCTATATCTTTTTTCCTTAGCGCATCATTTATGATGTTATAGGGAGTTCTATCAAAGGCACCCTTGATATCAACGAAGACGCCTATCATGATTTCACTCTGTTCTAAGGATTTCTCAATTCTTGTTACCAAGTTGTGAAGCGCCACCTCACAGGATTTTCCTGGTTGGTAGGCATATTGCTTTGAATGTATTGGACTAGTAGCCAATATGTGTTCCCTAATATGTCTGTCCAGTATCTTTTCCAATGTCTTCATTAAGAAAGATGACAGACATATTGGCCTAAATGCCTTGGGGTCTTCATAAGATTCCTTTCCTGGATTAGGAATGTATCGCACTTTGGATATCCTCCACTTACATGGTAGATATCCCAGTGCTAGGCTACCTCTTAGAAGTTCCAGAAGGTATGGCCTTATTTCTGGGAGACCCTTCTGCAGCAGTGCTGGAAAGATCTCGTCCATTCCAGCAGATTTGAAAGGAGAGAACAAATTCACTGCCCATTCAAGTCTACTGTTTGTTATCACTCTTCTTGCCAGACCCCACATACGTGCGCCAGTACCACGATCCTGTGTATTGGGGTCAAGAAGTTCATTTACTGTCGTAAAACAATTTGGGAAATGAGCTTTTGCTACCACACTCAATGTTTCCATCTCATTCGTGGTGTGCTTATCGTCATATTTGAGTGTTCCCATTATACCTGAATGGGTTTGTTTTGACAGTATTTTGTTTACCTTACATACCGCCGTCATGTTGTCCACTTCCAGACAAAACCTTTTCCAGGCTTGTCTTTTGGCTTTCCTGACAGATTTGTGATACTCAGTAAGAGATTTCCTATAGGTATCCCAATTGCCAGATTTTTTAGAAGCATTGAACAATCTCCTCATGAGTGCTCTTTGCTTTGTTAGACTATCATTCCACCAGGACACTTTCCTGTTGGTTGTAGTTTTTTTGGCTTCATTACTGGCCAAATATGCTCTAGTCATAGCATCAGTAATTGAAGTATTTAATATTTCTAATTGCCATGTATTGTGGATAACTTTGGGGCAGCATTTGACAGCCTCCTCCAAGTTAGAACTATAGGACACCCAGTTTGTTTGCTTGGGGTCTCTATATTCCACATCATGTTGTATTCTATCAGATATATCAAATCTGATATACCTGTGATCCGAGCATGTTTCTTCATCAGAGACATGCCAGTTATCTATAAGGTCACTAGTCAATCGAGTCGCTAGTGTTATGTCTATGATCTCAGTCCTAATTCTATTACAAAAGGTAGGCTTATTCCCCCTGTTCAGAATATCAAGATCATATTTAATAATAGTCTCTAAGAGTTTCTCACCTCTAGAGTTGGTGTTTGTGCTTCCCCAGATCTCGTTGTGTGCATTAGCATCCAGGGCAGCAACAATTTCCTCCTTACTCTTTAATAGTTCATCCATTCCTTCTTCAGGCTCTGGATGTTCATATGGCAGGTAAACCGCCGCTATGATTAGTGATTTGTTATGCCCTTTTTGGGTATATTTGGCTGCTGCAAGATCTCTAGAACAAAATTGCCATAGAGGCAGCAGTTTTAGTTTGTTTTTAAAAAGTAGGCAGGCTCTAGGATATGTGGGTGCAGATACTTTGTCTTTAGGTTTCTCCCCGCCTCTCGGCCTCGCTTTCGAACCACCACCAGTGTTAGATGGGTGCTGCGAGACAGAGGTCTGGCCACCTGACCGCGACAGTGGCTGTGGTTCGCCTCTGCAACCAGTTTTCACTGGTTCCTTTGGCTTAGCCCCGCCTCCTGCCCCGGCCGACGGCCTCGACCCCGTCCTCGACGCACTCCTTCCCGAAGAGGAAGATTCCTTGTTCTCCCTCTCCTTTGATGTACCTGCTCTTTCATTTCCTCCGGAGCAGGTTTACTTCCTGATGCTAGAAACCTGAAGGTGATAACATATATCCCACAGCAGGCCTGCATTCCATGTTCAGTGAGGCTCTGGAGGCTAGTCTCCGGTATTTTGAAAACTCCAAAGGATCCTCTTTCCAGAGCCTTGAAGTTAAACACGGTCCAGGTTTTTATCCCAGTAATAGATTGGTTCTGAATCTGGAGCCGGGTTAAATAATAAACAGCAGGTAGTGCCTTTCCTGGAAAGAAGGCTCCAATCCTGATGATTTTTGTAAGATCACCTGCTTCACAAGTTCGTAGGGTTAATCCTTCTTTAATTGTGATGCTCGGTGTTATGCTTTTAAACCATTCTACCGTATGGTTGTCTAGGCAGGATACAAGACATCCTCCGAGCTTAAAAAGCGCCCCGTCGAACTTTGGATGTATGTCTCCGCCTATTGTGAGCTCGTCAATTTTACTTGCGATT